TAAAGAATTATATTTGGTTAATAGTTCCAACAAAGTAAAGAACAAGGTATTGGGTCTCTATTTTTGAAGAGAACAAACTGAATGGAAACTAAGAAAGAAAGATAGGGGAGGGGAGAAAGAAGAATATTGTTTTTTAAATAAAATTCACCAGCTTAGAAATAAAAGTATCTTTAAAAACTAATGAAACACTTAAAATTGTGAAGAATGATATTGATATCCAGAAATTACAGTTCAATCCTTAAGAAGGGGGACCCAAAAAACCAAGAATTTATTTATTAAAAAAGCCTGTGTATTTATTCTTGCATGTTTAAACTTCAGTCACCTTCAGAGTGCTCTCCATTTGATGCAATACACCTACTGAGACTTTTTTTCCCACTGCTCAAAACAGATTTTGAACTCATCGATTTTTAAAATATATTTTATTGATTATGCTATTACAGTTGTCCCAATTTTTTCCCCGTTTTACCCTTCTACCCAGTAATAACCTCCTTCCCTCCAGCAACCCCATCTCTTTGTTCATGTCCGTGGGTCATGCATATAAGTTCTTTGTCTTCTCCATTTCCTATACTATTCTTAACACTCCTCCTGTCTATTATAGTGTACCTACCAATTATGCTTCTTAATCGCTGAACCTTTTTCACTTTTTTCCCCTTTCTTCCCCTTCCCGCTTCCAGCTGATAACGCGTCAAATGATCTCCATACCTATGATTCTGTTTCTGTTCTGGATATTTGCTTAGTTTGTTTTTCAGATTCAAGTTGTTGATAGTTGTGAACTTTCTACCGTTTTAATGTTCATAGTTTTGGTCTTCTTTTTATTAAGTCCCTTTAACATTTCATGTAATAAGGGCTTGGTGATGATGAACTCCTTCAGCTATACCTTGTCTGGGAAGTGCTTTGTCTGCCCTTCCATTCTAAATGATAGCTTTGCTGAGGAGCGTAATCTAGGTTGTAGGTCCTTGCTTTTCATTGCTTTTAATACTTCTTGCTAGTTCCTGCTTGCTTGCAAAGTTTCTTTTGAGAAATCAGCTGATAGTCTTATGGGAACTCCTTTGTAAGTAAGTCTGTTTTTCTCTTGCTGCTTTTAATATTGTTTCTTTATTTTTAACCTTTGGCATTTGAATTATGATGTGTCTTGGTATGGTCCTCTTTGGGTCCAACTTAATTTGGGACTCTCTGTATGTCTATTTCCTTCACCAAATTAGAAAAGCTTTTTTTCACTAGTTTTTCAAATAAGTTTCCAATTTCTTTCTCTCCCTCTTCTCCCTCTGGCATCCCTATGATTCAGATGTTGGTATATTTGGAGATATCCCAGAGTCCCCTTATACTATCCTCGTTTTTTTTTCCAATTATTTTTCCTTCTTACTATTCTTGTTCTAAGCTTATTTATTCCTTATGTTCCAAATCGTTGATTTGAACCCTGGTCATCCCACCGATGGTTGCCTGTAGATTTTTCATTTTTTCACTTAGTGTAATATTCATTTCTTCCTGGGTCTTTTTAATTTTGTTGCCATACTTAGTGAGTTCTTTGAGCATTCCTACCACCTGTGTTTTGAACTCTGCAGCTGATAGGTTGGTTATCTCCATTTCGTTTAGTTCTTTTTCTAGGGTTTTGTTCTGTTCTTTCATTTGGGTTATATTTCTTTGTCTCCTCAAATTTGGCATCCTTCCTGTGTTTGTTTCTGTGTATGAGGTAGAGGTGTTTAGACTCCCTCTTAGTAGTATAGCCTATCGTAGAAAAGGCACCTGCAAATCATGTGGGGCAGAGCCTTAGGCAGTTGCCAGGGTGGGGCAACCTGCTTCACCACTTTGTGGCCCTGCGTGGGGGGAAGGCTCAGAGAGGGGACCATGCCACTCTCTGGTTTCTGGAGGTTTTCCTGTGAGACTGGCACCCTTCCAGGTGTTGTCCTTGTGTTGAATCCCAGAGGGGGCAGGACTGCATACTTTTTAAGTCTGTGTGGGCCATTTAGGCCAAGTCTCCTGAAAATCTGGTAGTTTCTTCCACTGCCCCAACCCCCACTGGTTTTTACAGCCAGAAGTTATGGGGATTTATGTTCTTGGTGTTAGAACCTTGGACTGTGCAGTCTGGCCAGGGTTGGGATCGCTTGTTCCCAAGGTATCCCCCCAAATTTTTATCCACCACATGTGAATGTGGGACGGGCCGTTCCACCGCCACTGCCACCTCTCTGCACCACACTGCGTCTCTGTGCCTTTCTGCCGGTCTCCATGTCTCTGCTCCTCCTATGTGTCTGGATGAATGTGGCTTCTTTAAATCCTTGGTTGTCAGACTTACAAACAGCTCAATTTTCTGATGGTTCAGGGTGTATTGGGTTTTTTGGTTTGTTTCTTTATTTTGAGATATAGTTGTAATTCTTTCTTCAGTTGCTCAAGGAGGAGAAGTATGTTTATCTATGCCTCCACCTTGACCAGAAGTCCCTGAATTTGATTTTGATGCCTTTTAAAAGTGCTTTTGACATTTTTTTTTTACATCTTCCACATCAGCAAAATGTTTCCCTCAAGGATGTTTTTTCATTCAGGGAAACAAAAAAATGTTACTCAGGGTGAGAACAGGTAAATAGGGATTTCAAAAAAAAAAATTCACTGAAGCTGAACACAGCCCCTCACCAAAACGCCAGCTGCCGTACTATTATAGATGGGTTCCTAAAACACTCACCTAGCAGGTGAAGCATGTGCTATAAGGGGCTGCCCCTCCATAAGATAATTCCAGGTGTTTTGGGTTCCCTTCTTATGTCTATAGGAATAATTATAACAGTAGACTATAATTTTTAGCAACTTTTTTCATGTGAACAGAAATTCTCACATTGAAATCATATACACAGAAATACACCAATGAAACTGTATATACAAAGTATGTAATATCCTTATTAATTTTTAAACACCATGCAGACTCTGCATTAATAATAATATATAAAGTACTTTCTCATACAGTATATCTAATTTTGTTCTTATATTAATCCTGTAAATGAGGATATTGATATTCACCTATAACATGTGTAAACATAATTGGTATCATTAACTTTTTTTACCTACATGTACTGTAGATATTTCCTAGGTTAAGTCTTTAATTGGTGTGAAAAGTAAGGATAAGTGAAATTAAATGACTTTCCACAGATCAATCTACTGGTTAGCACTACAGATAAGTCTGATACCTACTGTGATATCGTTTTCACTGTACCAAGTTACTTTGATTAGAAAAGAGCATTTGCTCCATCAATTCTATCATGAACTACCATTTCCGAAATGCCTACTCCTGCTCAGTGTTAATATTCCCTCCCTCACCCTTCACCTACCTTAACTATCCCTATTAGCAATTAATTCCTCAACAAGATTTCTAATTAGATGCTCTCTCCCATGGAATAGATCCAAGTTTCCAACTCCTTCCTGGATATTTTTATCTGAGTTTGTTTGTATGACATATCAAGGTCATAAGGATCAAAATTAGATTCATTATCTAAAAGTACTCTTTACCTGTGTGTTTTTGCTGTCTTACTTAAGGTCATGTTCTTTCTGTGTGCAGAGACAAAAATTCTCAGAATCATTTGCAAAGCTTCTAATTTACATCCAAAGCTTACTTATTCAACCTCACATCTTCCCATTCTTCTACGGCTCAATGTTTATCCCTGCTTCCACAGGCCAGGTCCTTATCCTCCTTTGAATGAATTGTTATATTACTTGCTTATTGATTTCTCTACTTCCTTTCCTTTTAAGTCATCGATCAATGGGTTGCAGAATTAATATGAAACACAGCTAAATAATTTATGAACATACTCTGTGAACATATAAAAGGAAGTAAAAACTTTGGTCAATTGAGGTAAAACATTTTATCAAATATATCAGAATAATGCCAACTAGAATCACAGAGACCCCCAAATGACCTGGATCTTCTGGTTCCGGTGTCTGTGTAGTTTTCTCCCACACTAAATAAGACTGATCTATGTAAACAATTAAGTACCATGCCAATGATGGTGCATGACTCTTGTGGCTAGGCCATAAAAAACATGCTGGTTTCTGCCTTCTTTCTTACATCACTAGTTCTGATGGAAGCCTGCTAGCGTATTTTGAAGATACTCAAATATCCCTCCCTATAGGGTCTACTTAGAGCATAGGGTCACATAAAGGTCCATGCAGTAAGAAACTGAGGTCCCTAGCCACAGCCAGCTCTAACGTTTGGGCACATGAGTGCGTTACCTTGAAAGTGGATTCTCTGGCACTAGTCAGTCCTTCAGAAGACTGAAGCTCCCCTCAACATCTTGATGCAGCCTCATGAGAAATCCTGTGCCAAAATCACCCAGCTAATCTAATCCCTGGATTCTTGACCCCCCAAAACTGTGTGAAATAATAAACATTCATTGTTTTAAGCCACACAGTAGAAGATAAATTACACAGCAATAAATAAATTACACGGCAATTATAAATTTTTACACATCAAATAATAAGTTAATAAAAAAGAGCTTTAATTTTATGGGGAGCATTATGTATTAATAAAATGCTCTGAATAGGGAGTCAAAACTTGGGTGCTAGGCATGAGACAGTAGAGGCATAAGCTGTATAAAGTACTCTACAAAGTCAGGAGATAAGTAAAAGAAAGGTCATTTGCAACTTTTACTCCCATGTAAAAATCCAATTTAACAACCTTTCCACAGAAACCATTTTATTCCATACACACATGGATCATGTGTTTGCTGCAAATGAAACAGATATGATCAAAATGTAGGGGGATCCTAAACTGGACACATGTTTCTCTTGTTTGTATATGTATTGAACATCTCTTTGAAATACTAAAATATAAAGAACAAAACATAATGTAGGATTTGGCTCTCTATTGATACTGATGCAAGTCTCCAGTTTTGAAATCCAGCTGTTAAAGAGCCCTATCTCCAAAAATTTAATGGAAAAGTTGTTTGAATATTTTAGGTAGCTATAAATTAAAAATATATATATATATGTATATTTTCCTAACATATAAGCCAGGTTTTCCCCACCTCTTTTCACATTCCTGGCTGCAGGGGCTTTCGTTTGCAGTGCAGGATGCTTAGCAGCATCCTTGGCCTCGACCCTCCAGGTGCCAGAAGCACCACTCCTTCCCCCTTTCCGTGCCATGACAAACATGTTTGCAGACTTCAACAAATGTTCCTGGGAAGACATTTCACCCTTTGTGGAGGACCACTGTTACAGATATAAGGATGTAATATCATTTATAAGCATTTACTGAAAACAATATTTCTTTCAGCAAGGAGGAATGTTCCCATCTGTTCTCCAGCACTTCATATCTAAGGATCAAATATAAAGAAAATTCAGAACCTTTAGTTTGGATTTTCTGATTAAAGAGACTGAGGCCATCTGCCATAGTTATAATAATCTGCCAGATTGTCACAAATGATCAGTCTGATGTTAGGAATCAACAGAAAAAAATATTTTTTGATGGTTATATGATGTATTTACTACAGAGGATAAAGGAAGCTTTTAATTAAACGCACACACACACACAGAGCCATATGTATGTGCTCTGGAAAAACCAGCCATTCATTCTTTGCACTGCTAGTAGGTGACCAAATGAACTGCAAATTTTTTACTTAGGAAAGAACAAACAATAACCTTTAAGCACCAGGGATGACAGAAATCACAAACTAAAGTGTTTTGTTGAAATTTTCAAAGCTGAGTGAACAGGAATCCCTGCCTAAATTACTGAAAAGCCTTCAGTAAAGTAAGGACATAAACTGTTTTATTAATGGCCTTAAGAGAAATAAAGTATTATATTTTCTTCTACTTATTAGAATTGCATCTATTTCTGTCATGAAATGGTTTGCTGTGGCACCCATGGCTACAGTAAGCAAAGGGAATAATTTTTGCAACTTTGCAATATTACAAGGTATTTTGGAATACTTTTCTTTAATGCATGCTAAAATTATACAAATTTTTCCACTTAAATGATTCATTGTGAATAATTACTTGAATACTAGAATCTTGACTGTAAAAATAGAAGAATCACACTTTCTGTTTTAGTTACATTTTCTGCAGAAGCTGACTCTGATATAATGATTTGGGTGTGCATAATTTATTTTCTAGTAAAAAAAATGAAAAACACTGGTAGAGGACTAACAAAGTGAGACACAGAAGGTGGGGGCAGCCAATAAAGGACACGTGGTTAAGCTAGTTGTCACTCAGAACAACTGAAGCTTAACCCTGTCTGGGAAACTTTGGGAGCCCATGGACAATGCACATTCAGAACCATCCCACTGAGCTGCAAGAGGGATGGGGTATTTATACACCAACCCTCATTGGCCATTGTTTGGGTGCTGTGGCCAGGAGCACTAATTCCCCAGCATTTTTAGCTTCCTCCACAAACAGTGAAAGCAGAAAAGGCCCTCAGAGAATAACTACAGTTTGGGCAGTTAAAAGTCCCCTGGCTAGTGAGCTAGACGGGATACAGGTGGGCACTGGCCAGGTCTGCTGTTTCACAACCTCTATAAAATGATAAATATAACAGTTTGAAATATCAAGGAGTCACTGCCTTCTTAATTGTATTTACTGTTGCATTGTACAATTTGTCTCTCCATATCAAAAATATCGCAATTTTTTTTTCTGTTACAAGAATCCAAATGAAATTAAAAATGGAAAAACAACCCTCTTTGGTTCATCAGTTAATTAATATAGGCCATAACTATCCGCTTATTACTGTTCATTCTTATAGTATTTATTAGTTGCTTTAAAGAAATGTTTTTAAATCTGTGCAAAATTATAAAATTAACAAATTCAAATTACACAGAAAAGTTACACAACAAAACTGAGTATCTCCGCCTCTGTAACTAGGACCTCCCTCATTTTGCTAATGAGAGCTATTGTTCATATTTGCTTGTGATTACCCCAGAAATCCATTCATATATATTTTTAAATTTTTGATTGAAAATTTTTTATGCTTTCTGAATGTTAAGAGGCATGTCTTTCATCAATTCTGAAAAATTCTCAACCAATATATTTTTAAATATTTCCATCTGAAATTCCAAATAGATGTAAGATGACATCATTTTTCCCTGCATGTCTTTTAATCACTTTCATAATTTCCAACCTTTGTATTGCATTAAATTTAATTTTGCCTTCTTCCAGTTAACTAATTCTCTGTTCATCCATATGTACTTTACTAATTTATCCACTAAATTTTTTTGTTTGTTTTGTTTTGCTTCCAGGTTTATTTCCCTTTTGAATATGTCTGGTCTTCTTGCATAGTGTCTTTTTTTGTTTCCAGAATTTTTCATTTTATATTTAATTTTTTAACCATTCTAAACATACCTGTTTTTCAAACTCGGCCAATAATCTCATGCACTAAAATTCTTGGAGTTCTAATTATGCTGTTTGTAGTTTCTCCTGAGTCTTATTCATGGGGATTCTTTTGTACGCATTGAAATTTTAGACTGTGAACAAATATTCAGACTACACTGTAAGTTCTGGGTCTGTGGTAGCTTTTGTCAAGTATCCTAAGGGATTCAATTCAAATGGTATGACTATAAATTTTTTATTTTGTTTAGCTAGAGTAATTATTAACTTCAAACATGTAAGATGGAGACCTGTGGTTATAACCCTCTTTATGCCAGGGAGTAGCCCTTCCCGTGTCTAAGATTTAAGTAGGAAGTCGCAATTCCAACTGCCTACTTCTCAGACTCCATAGCCTTGTCTCCTTTCTTCAGACTTCTACAATACAAAAGTCCAATCCCTTGGTTACTAAATGTGTAAACTCACCAGGTCAGCCTTGGCTTCACTGTAGAGTTAACAACTCTGGACTTCAGTTTCATTTCATTTCTGGCCTTTCAGATTTTATCTCCATTCTTATGAAAAGCTCATCCCTACCTTTAACGTTATATTACATTTTAGTTCACAATTTATATGTTGTAACACACAATATACACTCATGGTATGTAAAATATCATTTATTTGATCTACTCATTTCCAGTTTTACTTGTTCCTAATTTTCATTGTCAATCCTGTCTCTCAAATATCTTCTATTCCCGAAGCACATTCCATGCCCCATTGTATTTTTATTTCTTCCATTAATTTCTTCCAATAATGAAATCCATTATTATTAAAATATTTTAATAAGCACTTTGAATTTACTCACATATATTTTCTATATCTCACATTTGAATCTTCTTTTTCAGTCATAAACACGGAATATATCCCAGCCTCAGCTGAACATCACATGCAATTGCAATCAGTTTGCCAAGTCTTAATTAAAAAAAGGAATAGGCTAATCTTTTGCTTTACAAAATAACTCTAAAATCTCAAATGGGCTCTTAGGGCTAATTTATAACCTCTAATTCATCTTTTACTAAATCTTTGAGACATTTCTGTGCTTCTCCCTAGATTTCATTTCCCATTTCAATCTGGAATGATTTCCCTTAAACTGTTTTATCCATTACAGAGTGTCTCTGCATAGTAATCCATTTCTTTCTCTTTTCAAATAATAATTTGTTCCACTTATTATTTCCTCTTCTTTTGAATGTTCAATTTTTCCTTCTCCAACAGATCCTTCATTCTGTCCTAAAATATTTTAGTTTTTAATACTTCTTCCTGTTCCAGAAATACGTTGTGGCAAACACTCGACCAATTACACAAAAGCCATCATTAACCCTCTTTTCCCTTTCCCTCCTATATAAGAGAGGAAAGTCAGCCTAATTACTCAATTGTGCATCCTTCCTTGCAGTCAGGAATAGTCTTGGTCCACGGCTGTGGCCAATAACCTGTAGCTAGAAAACCCTGGGGAGAGATTTCCTCATTACACAGAAAGGCAAAGTCTTGCCAGGAGAAATAACTTTTCTCCCTCTGCTGCCTCCACGCACTCTGCATGGGATGTGGTCGTTAAGTCAAGAGGCACAGTGGCTGTGTTGAAATCGTAAGTCATGATCTTATAGAAAAGACGCTAAGAAAGTTGAAGTAGAAAATCAGGAAGCACCTGGGACCTTGATATATTGTTCGGCCTAGAACTCCCTCGATGTCTCACCCCACAGTTCTCGCTGATGGAATAATAAAACCACCATTTAAAAAAGCACAAGAACAAAAATTATTATAGTTATACTTTTGATACTTGCATGCCAATATACTATTAATAGATACCTTTCTTTGATCTCTCCCTACCCCCACACCCAACTGACAAAAACTTAAAACATTAACCTAACTATATATGCTTGGTATTGTCACCAACCATTCATTGCAGAGCAGTGGTTGTAAACTGTTGGTCCTCAGGGCATATTAATGCCAGGAGTTACTATGCTTTGCTCTAAACAGTTTATATAAATCTTAAATTACCAACACTTAAGCATTAGAAACTGTTAGCTTTTTGGATTTCCGGGTTCATCAAAACAAAAAAAAGATCAGGTAACATTAGACTGGCCCCTACATTGAAAAGCACCCTAGCTCCAATTATATAATGGCTGCTGTTGAAACTGAAGCAAACAACACAATGGAGAAAAGATGTATAAGGCTGACCAAAAAGATAGTTTGCTATTTTTCCATAAGATGGATCTAGTAGCGTTTAGATGTCTTTAACTTCATTCTAAACAATTTCGTTAGATTGTATTTGCAATACAATCTAACAAAGCTGTCATATCAGCATGCAAAAAAAATTAAAATTGGTGAATTTTTTGTGTAGCCATTTTAATATTGAAGATGGAAGAAAATACGCAACATTTCAAGAAAGGTAAAAATGCAATTAAAATGCAAAAAGGATTTGTGCAGTGTATGGAGAAGGTGCTGTGACTGATAGAACATGTCACAAGTGGTTTGCAAGTTTTCTGCAGATTTCTCATGGGATGATACTCCATGGTTGGGCAGACCAGTTGAAGTTGACAGTGATCAAATTGAGATGTTAATGGAGAACAATCAATGTTATACCATGGGAGAGATAGCCAACATATTCAAAATACCCAAATCAATAATGTTATTGCTGAAAATGAACAATGTCTCTTTTATTTTATGGAAAAAAACTAAATAAATGTTTTGCCCAACCCAATATTTTCAACATTGGCGCTAGATATCCACATGCAAAAGAAAAAGAATCTAGACACAAATCTTATACCTTTTATAAAAAGTAACAAAATGGATCATAGATCTCTATGGGAAACAAAAAAGTATAAAACGGCCATCTACCAGGCGAGGGATCACACGCTCTCACCTTCTTTCCCTAGTAGATAAATCTTGGTCTTTTAAAAACAAACTCAAAAAGTACTGTTGCTTCAGAGACTCTGCTGATCCTGCTTAAATTGCCACATAGCTGTACTTCCGTTGTGGCACTTGGTGTATAATTGTTTCTGTGTGTGTACGCCTTCCTGAGTAACCTATAAGGTCTTTGTGGGCAGGGTTATGTGAAATGGGACTCTGGGTCTCCAATTCTGTGTCATAAATACTTGCTAGAGAAAGTAAGTTTGTATATCTAACTTTATAGATCTAGAATTAAATATTAAAGTGCTATGAAATGAATAACAAAATCTATGCACTACACTGATACTTTTCTTTCAATATTTAAATATTAAATCTTATGGAAATACCAATGACAGTAGACAAGGAGACATAAAATGTGTATTGAAATAGAATATAAGAGAGGTAAAGTCAAAAGGGGGCAAATTAAATATTTATTGAGTTCTCAATCAGAGTCAAAATAAAAGCATATGTGATTGAGCTGAAAGTGCTGAGTGTTTCCAGGCTACCAAACTGTCTTGGGCTGTAAATCAAATTAAGCAGCTCAAATACTGCTATACTGTACAGAAAATGAAAATGAATAAAATAGAAGAGGGAGGCTCTGCCTCTCTTGTCAGGTAACCAATACTGTTGAGAAAATAAAGTAGTTATACACTCTATTTAAGGGAACTAAGTTGTAAACTGATACCCTCGGATTGGTAACGTTTGCATAAAAGGAACAGTAGCAACAACTGTCCAGAGCTTTGGAAAAAAGCACCCAGTGCTTTACTTGGCAATAAAATGGTTTCATATTTCAACCCTTCAAGTTCATATATGTTGGTTCATTAACTGTTTTGGTACAAGAGGCAGGATTAAAGTTTATAAAATAAGACTGTCCTAATGAGAGATAAAAGGAGCTCTGTGGTAAGAGCAACTAATAAAAATTACATGAAAAAGATGGGAATATTTTCTTCTTAAAATTTTCCTCCAATTATAAAATTCATTGCTAAACAATATCAGGCTGATAACTACTGATGTCTAAAACAGCTTGTGCCAAACGATTTTGATTATGAAAGTGTAAGATAGAACTGTACACAATATGTACATATATAAATGCCACATATATATTATTACATATTTATAAAAATAGTGTATATATAAAGACTGGCAGACAATCTGACAAGTCAGTGAGACAATAGGTGATTTTAAAGTTTTTCTGTATTTCATATGAAAAATAAAATTTAAATAAACTTTTCACTTTGTTGCCCACTCACACACCTTCTCCCTGCCTTTACCATATTTTAAAGAACAAAATCCATTTGAAACAGCCCTCTCTATCCTATTGTAATCTGCAATCATGTTTACAATATTGTGAAGAATGAAAAATACAGTGAGAAAGCTCAGAAGTCAAGCCCTGAATAATTTTCTTACCTACTGTAAATTTACAAACTGAAAATTAAAGAAAATTACATTTAAACCTCTTATGTCTATGGACAACTTTAATAATATATACTTAATTTACCTGCTAGGACACAGATTAGTCAATAGAGAAATACAGTTTGAGATTATAGCCTAAAATCTGGAAGTCTGTGTCTCCCAGACGCTACCTCCACAGGGTCTGCTCTGATTGTCGTCACACGGGGCCCTCCATCCAATTCCCTCGGCTCCTGGCATTTCTTCCGTTACAGACAGCTAAGGAAATTCTTATTGGACTGCTTCTCTCTCACACTGATAACAACACCATTCCCTCCAGTCCATGATCTCCTTTACCTCATGGTAAGATCAGATTTGTTTGCCCTCTGTTAAGATTGGGGTAATGTTGCCGTTTCCCAAAGTTGAATTGATTGTGATAGTTGAGGGTTTCCTGTAAAGTGCATTACCTAGTGAGGCTTTCTGCTGACAGGAACAAAGTTTCATAGAGAGAATTCCATAGTAAATTACAGCAGCCTGGATAACTACTATTGCCTTTCCTTTAAAGAATATTTTTAGAAATAAAGAGGACATAGCCTCTATAGTCTAGCTCTTTAAACTTCAAATTTTGACACTAATGGCTATTTTATTTCATATAAGCAAAGGAAAAATAATGTCTGCTTTCTAAAGTCACAGAGGGCCGACACACCATGCGTGGAGCATGTAAAGTAATGGTGCGTTGCATCATGTCCCTCCTCTGAATGGCTCATCCTTTCCTGTCTGCTGCTTCCTCTTCCTTGCCTACTCCCTACTTTGGAACACTCCCTGGTGCTACTCACAGAGGACTTTTCCTACTTTTACTCTTGCTAACTGGTGGTCTCCCCATTTTATAACATTATGTGAATGCCCCAAAGACACATTCAACCCCATGTTCCTCAAAGGGAACCTCTATTTCCTCGTAAAGCCACTCTGTGCATTTCCTACCATAAACCCAGTTACCCAGACTAGAACCCTTAGATCAGTCTTTTCCCCTCCATTCTTTCCAATTTTGCCATCTTATCTGTCATTGCTTTTACTCTCGAAACATCACTCTATGACCTCTCCATCATTATTGCTTTGACTGAAGTTTCTTACCCTTTCTGGCTGGGATTATTGTGAGTCATACCTGATCATTCTGCTGGTAATGTAAAAGCCTTTCAATTTTACACCAGAGCTTTTCCACAGTCAGCAGTGATCTGCCTGCCCTACAGCATAAATCTGAATGTCGTTTTCCTGCTGAGGAGTCCTTGATGGCTGCCCACTGCGAACTATTCTTCATGGTGTATGAGTCCTTAATAACCTGACTCCTAACTCCAAGTTCTATCGTCCTGAGTTTATGACCAACTCCGCTCTCCCCCAATATATCCTTTAGCAAGGTTTATAGTGGGGACTCTAATCAGAGCTTCACCAGCAGCTTAATGTACCAAATACAAATTCTAGGAGTAACATATCTGAATAGACTAGCTAAGATTATATACCTGGCCCACAGAGTAAATGCAATACCTCCCAAAAGTATCCAGTGAGGAATCTGCAATTCCAATAAAAAATATTAAAAGCTCCTAGAGAGGGAAAATGGGTGGGCAGCCCAAAGCAAACATAATAAAAAATACTTAACCAATTTTTAAAATGTCTACAATACTCTAGGTCAGCAAACATTTTCTGTAAAGGGCCAGATAGTAAACAGTTTAGTGTCCTTGGTCCATACAGCCTTTGTCATGACTACTCATCTCTTAATTGTAGCCCAGTGCAGCCAAAGATAATATGTAAAGGAATGGGCGTGGCTGTGTGTCAATAAAATCTTATTTACAAAAACAGATTGTGGTTAAGACTTGGCCCAGAGGGGTTATAGTTTTTCAATTCCTGCCATGTGTCATAGCATTGTGATTTCAAAGTAAGGTAACACATAGATCAATTAAGATTTTGTTGTGTGTTTAATGTTATTGTTGGAAACAGGAAAAAATTACATAAACCTGTTTTTTATCTACAAAGGAAAAAAAAGAATTGCATGGTCTCTATGCAACAGAAAAGGACAACTACAGGAAAAATTAAGCGGAGAGGATGGGATGGAAAGATAATAAGGAATAAAAACAGAGATTAAGGAAATAAGAAGTATTTCAAGACATCAAAATTTAATGGCAGAATTAATATTTACTTTATAAGCAAGATGAAAGATAATTAACAATGCAAAATCATTGGCCATCTGAGGAAAACTACAAATAATTCTTCCAATATGTCACAAAAAAACATAAAGCCATGACAAAGAGAGCCATGACATACAGGGACTACAAAGTGAACCTGAAGAAGTTTCTGCCTCTGAGGGAAAAAGCAGAAAAATTTTCACAGAAATTAAATTTGTATTTAAAAAATAAATAAGGAAAAATTGAAGAATCTAGAAATCACAATAACCAAAGGTATAGTATTTTTTCTTCTGGAAATCTAAGTTAAGGAAGAATTATAAGGTAATCAAAGGTAGGGGGCCGCCAAAAAAAAAAAAACACCCCAAAATTATCTTCTGGAGGGTGGGCCCCTTGTAGTACAGGCTTCCCCACTAGTTGGGTGTTCTAGGAACCCATCTGCTTCAGTGAACCAGATGGAATTGTTGTGAGAGGCTGCATTCCGCTTCAGTGAATTATTTTTAAGACTCTTTCAACCTGTATGCTCATTTCATGATAGGTGATTAACGAGTGTACCTACTCACACCATGCTGAGTGTTCAGCAGTTTCTGACCCAAAAGAGCATGGCCTCTTTGCCCCGCCCCTCATTATTCACATGATCTCACCCTGAGCGACATTTTGTTGTTTCTCCGGATGAAAAAAGTCCTCAAACGTAAACATTTTCCCAATGTGGAAGAGGCAAAACAAGAAAACAGTAGAAGCACTAAAAGGCATCAAAATTGACAAGTTCAAAAACTGTTTTGAGCAGCGGAAAAAAAGTCTCGATAGGTATATTGCATCAAATAGAGTACTTCAAGATGGTTGAAGTTTAAAAATGTAAAAATAAATACATAATTTTTTATAAATAAATTCCGGGGATTTTTTTGGAGGGGATTTTAAATAAGAAATTGATGCTTGTTAAAAGTCATATGGAAATGCTACACTATACTTTTCAAATTAAAGAAATCAGGTATAAAAACTTATAAACAGCACAATATAAGTGTTTTTTAAATAACTGAATAAAACAGAATGAAAAGACTCATGCTTAATTTTAATCATGTTGTTTTTAACTTCTAATAATGTATTTTTTCCTGATTCCTTATGTATTCATTTCTTCTTCAAATGTTTGAAGAAAGACAAGAACAGAAATAAATGAAAACCAAATATGCAGATGTATTTTCAATCTTTGGATGAGATAATCAAATATAAAATGATCTCAAATTTTGGAGAGGTTAAGGAGAAAAAGAGAATGAAGTTTAGGTTTTACTCTCCAAAACTGATGTGAAATAATGAGGAAAAAAAGAAATAGGAAGAAACAGGGATTTTCACATCATAAATATTTCCTTGTTATATTTTCACTTTATTATGTTCTATTTCATTTCCATTATAATCAGTAAAGCACAGTGGGTAAAAAATAAAGAAGCTTATCAGACCAAGATACATAGGTGTGCCTGCTATGCTCTCTAAAACATAACAATAATGTATATAACAGAAAGATGCATAACAATTTTACTCTGAACCTGAAAAATTGCAGTCAGTACTTCAGAGCTCACCCAGTCACTTAGCAGTATTTCCCTGCATAATTTAATTGAGATTTTCTTATTAAGCCAAATTGAATAGCCTACTCTTGGCCCAGAATCACATGCATATCAAACTTTTGCTCAGGAATTAATGATCATTAGTGATGTCTTTCAGAGCAGATATAAAGGAAAATGGAAATCTCTTCTCTTCTACAAATCTACTTCCTTCTACCCGCCTCCCATTCCTGCATCTTTTGTATTAGGCAACGTGATATACGGATTTAATTCAGGTCAATCTCTTCTTAATCCAAAGTGTGTCAAGGAAAGCAGCATTGCTGAGGGTCTGTACCAGTATTTAAACTTGCTTAATTTTCCAGTGAGCTCTATATCATTGCCTAAGACCTAAGAATCAGTAATAAGGGGGTCATCTTCATGAAGTTACTTTGAAACATGTCTCCTTGCCAGAGAAATATCATTCAACAGCCCTCCCACCAACTTCACTATCATACAGAAGCACACATACCATCTTTGGCTTCTTCAGAATACAAGCAAACTCCTTATGTCACTGTATCAGGCACCAGAACTGTGCTACAACTGTGCTACAGTTAGGGACGGTAAAACACAAATGGATTAAAAACGTGATTAATTTTTCTAAGTATCAAAAACAATCAAATAAATGACATACTTCATTGATACTATCACTGGCTTTGGAGCTTTTTGTCTTCTAGAACACTTCCAAACATGTATAAAGTAAAGATTATTAGATAGAGAGATGAGAAGCTTTAGGAGTGTGTTTTTCTTTAATAGATTACATTTATTTAATAAATAGGTAACATTATTTGAGACAATTCTAGTTAGATTCCACCAACAATCTGAAATCCTTCTGTTAGAAACTTTGTGCCAATCAAAACAATTCTTTGACTAGTTAAACATTTATATTTCATATATGTTTTTATGTTTACTCTCATACCTTTTTTCTTCAGTAGAGATAAAAAAATTTGCTTTTAAATTGAACTAACTCATATTTCATAACTCTGATGTTATGTATGAATAACACATTTAAATCACATACTATTCGCAGCAATCTAATTCCCACATTGTTCATTTTGCTTTCTCAATTTTACTTTTCTAATAGTAGTGTATGTGGAATTTCCCTTTAATTAAAGTGCTAAATTACTTTATAAATAAAAATAGTGCATCATCTCAAAGGTAATCAAGAATATATCATACCTCTGAATGACCCTGATAAAAAAGCTGTATTAATGATTCAAATTTTAACTCAATTAATATAGTATTATCCATGTGTATTTAATTTAGAATATTGCTTAAGGAACTAATAATATGTTTAATAATTTATCAGATAAAATTTAACTGAGCCATCTAGGCCTCAATATTAAACTAAAATATCAGAAATGCAGACACTGTGTGCAACATGTAGACAGAAGGGAGTCAAAGCAAGAGCAGATGCATTGATCAGAATTAATGCAGAGTTATGATAAAAATTTGTATAGAATTCATATAACCATTTTGTCCTATTAACATGAACAGAAAGGGGTATATTAGCATTATCTTCTTACTACTGTAATAGATTTATCTGTTGTATTTCTTTAGTTTTTTAAAATAAAACATGCATATAAAAATGTACACAAATCATGTGTTCTTGAGGAATATTTATGAATTGAGCACACCTGTGTCACCATTATTTAGGCAACTTAACTAACATTTCTATTGTTTTTAAATACGCACAAGCATGAAACTGACAAACATGAAGATATTTTTGTTATTAATGTGTGAAGTCAGTATATGACTAATAAATCAGATTATCCTCTTTAAATCATTTCATTCATATCTACAAATGAAGACTAACACCATGCACATATATTAACAATGACATTCATTTCTTGGGGAAAATAGTGTTGATGAAAGGAATAATATTAAACATATTAGCAAATAATGTAAAAAAAGTGTTTCCCCCTATTTCTCTATTTGGTATATATCTACATTTTGGCTTTAACTTGAGAGTCTTATTGAACAACCTTTCACATCGCAGTCACAAAAAAAAAAGGATTGACTTTGTCTTAGGGGCAAGAATGGTTATAATAGGCATATAAATTTGAACAAATAAGTTCTCTAGTTTCCAGTGTGGAAAATTCTACAACACTGATGCCCTTTTTATTTGTAATTACGTAGTATAATACATTATTTTTAGACTACATCATGCTCCAAATTATATTACCTCATAACTGCATCAGGAAAACATTAATGCTCAGTTAATAAAGCTGTTCCATTTTGCGTAACAAAGGGAACTAAAATATATTTAATTAGAAAATTTTTTTTATTCTAAAAGGCTTCATGAATCTTCTTAATAAGTATGCCTACAGTATAAATGCACTCATAGCCTGATCGTCATTCTAAAACATTTAACTGTATTGTTTATTGGCAGTAAAAGAACAAAGCATAATTTTGGGTTTTATTTCTCATGTTAAAAGTCCCTATGCATATTAAAAATTGCTTCCCACTTAATAATTGTTTCTCATATAAAAAACTAGATTTAAATTGGAGGATATAAAAAGAGTGTTACTTGAGGAAACATTACAAATTAGAAA